CTCTGGATTTTGAACTGTCGCAATCTCCAAAATCAATGTTTCTGTTTCTTTCTTGTCTTCCCTCGGTTCTACTTCCAATACTGATTCCTTGACTTGAATTGGTTCTTTCGCAGTCTCGATGAACATACTTAGACTCACTTCCTTCTCTAGAATCTCTTCTTGAATCATGTCTGATGTTGTCATATCTTCTATGTCCTTTATCGCAGCCAACAAAATTATGTCTTGCTTAAACTCATCACCTCTTGTGTCATCGTCACTCTTCTCAGCCATTACATCTGCAAGCTTTATTCTTAAGCATAGTCTCCATGGATAGCTTTCCTTCATATCCAACATCAGCGGCAACGATTTCTTGAACATCAGAGGTTACAGTCTCCTCTTGGCGTCTTTGTTTAGCCGAATATGAATCATACTCTGTGACAGCAGTCTCCTGGATCTGATGAATAGATCCTTCCTTCAATTTATCTGTAATTACCTCCCCTGCAAACTTTGTCTTCAATATAGCATTTGAGTTTTGGTAAAGAGAAGATGCAATGTGATGTTGTTGAGTGTTAGGCTTAGGAGATGGATTGAAGGGAGCTTGAGGTTGCCTAATAGGTGGGTATTGTAGGGATTCATATATTTTGGCCATCCTAGCAGCCTCAGCAGCTGTGGTGACATCAAATTTTCTAGCGTACAAAGCCAAAGGAGGACTTATATTCTTCAAAAAGATGGTGAGTGCGTGATGGATAGGCAACGACATCTTGGTTAGAAGACATTCAAATTTACCCAAATACACTTCTACAGAATCACTGGATTGTTTTAGATTCACAGGCTCAGATATAGGATCATCATCACTCTTACCAAATTCAGCAAAGATAGCAATGGCAAAATCTATCCAAGAGGGAAAAGTACCATAATGTTCTCTCATAAATTTCTGATGCCATTGAAGAGCCTTACCCACCATGTAAGGAGAAACGACATGGGTCTTCTGTTCTGGAGGTGTGTGATGTCGGTCGAAGAACTGCTCGCAGCGACGAATCCATTCACGCAGATGGTTTCCATCAAATTTTGGGAGATCTTGTGGATCAGGAGGTGGTGGTGAGATTAGCGGCATCGTCGGAAAGTTGTACGAGGATGGGTTTGAAATATGAGGTCGGATCGACGAGATCGAGTCTTAGGGGAAAAATCTGGTCATCGTCGTTCCACGGACTTCACTACGCAGGGCATCGTAGGTTTGCTTCTGGTCCTCTATTTCCCTTAAATGCAGCAAGCGCATAGCTTCTTGTCTAGTGTAAGACATAGATTCCGGTCCGGAGAGCTCGACAGCTCTGATACCAATGTTACCGGAAGAAATTCCGGTGATAGATCCAACATAGAGGTTCTCTTATGAACCCGAAGATCAGTAAACCCAAGTCTAGAAGACGACTACTGAGGAAGAAGAGTCATCTCGAAGAACAAAGATTCAAGGTGGATTGGTGATGATGACGATCAGAGAATTTAGAGATTGAAGAAGGAGATAATATTGTTTTGATTGATTTCTCTTAGATTGGCGTAAAGCCTTACAAATACATTTTTAATGTACCAAACCGATAGACCGGTTTAAAGACTTAACTAAAATTGATAATGCAATTGAACCAACTCTTATTCTCATAGCTTAATCCTGCAACATCTAAGAAACTGTCCCTATCATCGTAAGGGTTCGTACCTGTATAAGCGGCCTCATCATCTTCACTCCAGCTCAATTTCGACGAAGTATTTTTCCCGGTCTTACCTCTTTCCGCTGTTACCTTTGTTGAGGTCCTTTCACTGTGCCGTTTCGAGGGGGTTACTGCAATGGCCTTTCCAGATCTCGGAACCTCAGGTTCGTCTTCTGAATATGAATCGAAACCTTGAC